CATAATTCTAAAAAGTAATTTTAAAATGTCACATATGCTTATTTCTTACAGAAAAGTAACCACTTTTCCATGATTCTAGCCTCTTACTTGATGTATATTTCAATTCTCTATTATTTGTAACTAACTAATGAATGACCTCCGTGGCTCTCAAAAATGGTAACATGTTTATATCAAGCACGTAAGTTCAAATGTCATATATTGAATCAGAACTGCTGAGTAGAGGGTCTAGGAGTCTATTTTTAACAATAATACCAGTCAGTAATTACCCGCATTGTAAAACGAGAGCTTTCTTGCCTACAGAAGAGCTTTACTCTTGCTTGAGAACACTAGATCCAAATGGAGATTAAATACATAAACTCAGCCTCGACTACTGGTCTCCTGAACACCAAATTCTAACCTCTTGGGCCATATATCTTACGATAGAAATTTGTTTTAACATATGATAACATTAAGTATGTAAAACTATTTTACCATCCATATTTGCTGAGATTATATATAAAACATAATATTTGTTTCTGATACAGATGATCAAAAATACTTAAAATGAATTTTTAGGTATGCTCAAATCCAACTTTTTAATCTCCAATTTTCTTTATCAGCTTCAGAAGCAATGGAAACTTTTTTGTGTGTGTCCGTTTTGAGACCGGCCGCACCGCGCTCAGCCATTGAGCGCTGTGAGCGCACCGGTCATCCCTATATAGGATCCGAACCCGCGGCAGGAGCACTGCTGCACTCCCAGTGCCACACTTTCCTGAGTGCGCCACAGGCTCGGCCCTTAATGGAAACTTTTAATATTCCCCAAAATATAATTTAAACATTCTGTAAATGTTTTGTTGACAAACTGACATAATAAATTTTAATATAAGGCTATACGGAGCATAGAATATGATATTATTTCCAAGTAACTGTACTCAAATGAGTTAAAAGGGAGAAAACAATAAGCTTTTACAAATTAAATAATTTGCCATGCTGGCCTAAATTACCTGATATATTTTACTTCTTCTTAGTAAAATATAACTGCCTCATAGTTAATAAAACACTAATGCTAACTTTCAGTTGCAAAATGAGATCTTGAAATCTCAAGATGAAACTAAGATTGTTAAGGCAACAGTGATGGAAAGCAGCCGCATTTTAAGATTTCACTTAATATTTATCTTGAAATACAAAATACAGAAATAAGATTTTTCTGGGAATTAATATGTGGTGAATGAGCAAACAATATTTTTTGTGTGCCAAAGATTAACCAAATAATTAGGTTTCGATTTTTTTTGCATCAAACCTTCCTGGAAAGCGTTTTTTTATAATAAAGATTTTTTTTAAATGAAAATCATCATCAACAAACAAAAACACATTTATATATAATTTCCAAGACCATGTGAACAGGATATCTTTTCAGGTAATGTATATTTAGATAACGCAGTGTCTATGTTGGCCCTTCAAAAAATTTAACAGACAATTATTCAAAAATAAACTATTTTCTGAAGAGGGGATGGCTTTAAAATAAAGCTTACTGGTCAAAGTTATTTTAGTTTCTAATAGAAATAAAATAAATATGGAGACAAAAAATCTCATTGTAATTTCAGTCAGAATTATGATTCAGGTTACTTATAAAAGTAGGAGCAACTAAATTGCTTCTAAGGGATAATACATTGTCTTAAAATTAGCATGGATTTGAGATTTAACAATATTAATGCTATTTATTGGTTATATTGAACATCCAATAATTAAAAATTTAATAAAGACAAATAGAAACACCAATAGTCCTTGTTGAAAATGTCTTGACACAAATGAAATTTTATAATCATGATCAAATCTCAACAGACTGGGAAGTTTTACAGAAATAACCAATATACTTACATAGACCCCACAAAACATGCTGGTGATAATGATTAACTTCAGTGTAGATCTGTAGATTTTCGGTAAGTGATGGATTGTGTAAAATTGTTTCACTGTGAACCAGAAAGAATTGAGGTTCACTATTTAATCAAATTTAAATATGTTCACTGTTCACCTCAGTCTCTCAGGCAAGAAAATGCAGGAGCAATTCTGGATACAGCATGACTCGACATACAGTACTTATACTTAGCTATCAGTGTGTAGGCAGAATTATTGCACAAAAGAAATAGAACCATTAGCCTAACCCCTGGTCGTGTGTTGATTAAGAACATACATTACGAACCAATGAAAGGAGTGTAATCTTTTAAAAAAGCTGATGACTTATAGAAAGGCAGGTTGGTTAACCACAAAGTTAATGATTTATTTTCTACTTGGTTGTTAATATCTAGACTCTTTCCTGTGCTCCAGCCCTAGTTTCGTGTTTCAGTTGTGAGGTTCTATGAACATCTATACCATTCTTTTAAATATTTCAACTATTGTATATCTGGTCTTATGCTAAAAAATAACATATTTAGGACTGAATTGATTACCCAGCAATAAAAATTCTGAAGAGATGCATTCACCATAATTTTTCACACTTAATTTCCATATATTATTTTAATATTTAACTTCATTACATTTTAAGAAAACAAATCTTAGAAAAACCTTTAACGTCCACTAGAGTGTTAGGAAGAGTCTATCCTCATAATTTTTATATATCATTCCAAAAATAATAAATTTTCATTGTGTCATTTTACTGCTTCTTGCCATTTAGTGAACAATATAGTATTCATTTAGACTGCAAACACTTAAAAAGATTTTGAAGAAATAGGAATAAATAATTTTTGGATGAAAGACAGGATATTATAAGAAAAGTATCAACTGATTAGCATCCATAACTCTTGAACTTCTCTACCTTAAATAAATCTGATATTAAAATATGAATAAAAATCAAAAGCAGAATGTCTTGAGCAGCAAAATATCTAAGTTCTCCAGCATTCAATTCATGACAGAATCTGATTAACTTAATAATATACTTGGTACTTTGAGAGATGTAAAGAAACATGCTGCCTACTTTCACAGGGGCTATAATCTAGTAGATCAAGTTATGTACATGTATGTATGTCTGTATTTGTAAGTGTCTGAATCAAAGTCTTGTGTTTTCTCTGTGTATATTTAGACAGCATATAGTAATTATTAAATAATAGTTACTAAATATATAGTATTCAAAATCAGAAACAAAAGAAAATAATTTTATCAACTAAAACTACTTATTTTCTTTTTTATCATTATTTCAAAAGTTACGGGACTTAAGACTTTAATTATAGACTGTGTGTCAATATGAAATGAAAATTGTCAAAATATTTGAGGCCAAAATATTTCCCCCATATTATTAGATAATTCAGAGAAAAGAGATTTGAAAATTGAGTGGCGGAAAATACACCAGTTCAGTTTTTCCCACTATACTCTCACAACATTTTGCTTCTGACAGAAGATATGCAGGGATTTCTCTCTACCAGCAAGAAAGCAATCAGTTCTGCAGTAGACACCAGCTGAGTGTTCTCCAATTTAATTCTGACACTATCTACCTGGAGATAGCATCAGATCTCACAGATTGAGGATTCAGTCCCCAAGACTGCCGTCTCCCCAATACAGGTGCCAGTTGCAAGCCCCGGGTTGTTTTATCAGCTGAGTGTTCTCCAATTTAATTCTGACACTATCTACCTGGAGATAGCATCAGATCTCACAGATTGAGTCAGTCCCCAAGACTGCCGTCTCCCCAATACAGGTGCCAGTTGCAAGCCCCGGGTTGTTTTACCTGTGTTTCTGACTGGCTGACTATAAATTCTTGGCCCCCTTCCACCTCCCCCCCACCCCAACTTCAGGCTTGACTAATTTGCTACAGCAGCTCACAGAACTCAGGGAAACACTTACCTTTATTGACTTATTGTAATGTATATTTTAAAGTATACAAATAAACAGCCAGATGAAGATATGCATAGGGCAAGCTCTGGAAGGGTCCTGAGTGCAGGAGCTTAGATTCTTGTGGAGTGGGGGTGCATCACCCTCCCAGCACATAGATGAGTTCAGCTGTCCAGAAGCTCCCAAAACCTGTGCTCTTTGGTTTTTATGGAAGCTTTATTACATAGGCATGATTAAAGCACGGACAACTGTGTAGAAATATTACCAGACAGAAAGGGAATGATCTAATATTAACATACTGGGTGGGGAAACCCACGAAAGCCTGTTTGTTCAGATTCTTCTTTACCTCTTTGTGCAAAATTTCTTTCTCCTGCGTATGGGACAGTATCCCTTCTGAAATGTGAATCTTGTGATCTGCAATCAAACAAGGCACGACAGAGAATTTCTTTACAGCCAGCTCCAAGATAGAAAGGCTGGGGTAGGTTATAACAAGCCAGGAACTGTGGACAGAACCAAAATATATATGTTAGGGTATCTCAATAATATTCCTTAATTTCCTCCCAAACACTAAGTATAGTGTGTATTTTTATTCATCATTATAATGTGGTTTATCTTTTTAAAATATGTTGCCAATTGAAGCTATAATGTCTGGAATTCGTTTTATAATACTTTACAGATAAAAGGTAAATGAGAAAAGAAGTCAGTGTGGCAAAATTTTAAAAACTACTGGGGAGATGGCAGTTAATCAGATAATTCTATTTTTACGTGAATTTGAAATCTTTCATAATAAAATTTTTTTAATGTTTGGGTTTAGCTTATTTACTCATATTTAAATGTGGTTTGAGTATCTACTATCTGCAAAGTAGTAAATATTAATAATGATTGAGGTTTTACTCTATTCTAGGCACTGTTTCAAGTGAATATACTTGTATAAATTAATTTAATCCTTACAAAAACTCATGGGCTAGGTACTATTGTCACCCATATTTTAGTAAAAAGAAAACTGAGATACTGCGTAGTCAGAAAATTTGCCTAAAATTACACCCTAGGAAATAGTAGAGTAGAAATTTGAACTCAGGCAGTCCAAAGACAGAACCTAACAACTCAATCTCTATGCTATATAGTTACTCTGTTAAGAAATAAAACAATGCAACTATTAATAATAATAAAAAAGGCATGTTTCTTGATTCAAAGGGATTTACAGTTTAGTAGGTAGAGAAAATTAATGGAATAAAAGATGCCAAATGGCAAATACCAGAAGCAAGTTACATAAAACATTATGGACAATTCCATAAGAGGCAAGTTACTTTCAGCAACAAATAAATGCAGAAGTCTTCACAGATGAATTCACATTTGAAATGTGACTTGGAAGGGGAAGGAAAGAGCCTTCCAGGTAGAAAAACCAAGAAATCAACACCAGCAGGGATAAGGTAGGGAGATGGGAGGGCGGGAAGTATGTACCATAATTGGATTAATTTTAAATTTGACTTTGAGTTAGTTATGCATGGCCTTGTATTAGTCCATTTCTGTTGCTTATAATTACCTGAAACTGGGTAATTTGGAAACAAACAATATTTATTGCTTACAGTTTCAGAGTCTGGGAAGTCCGTGGGGAACACGTCTGGTGAGAGCCTTCTTTGATGGTGACTTCAATAATGTAGGGTTATCACCATGGGAGATGGAGGACGGCTTGAGCAGACAGAGAGAGAGAACTCATGTACGTACATTCCTTTTAAGGCCATCAGAACCATGACCACCATTAAACCATCAAATGGATTAATCCATTCACTGTGGCGTGGTGCTCACAATCTAACCACCTGTTCAAGGACCCACCTTTCAATTATCATTATAGGACTTCCCACTCTCAACAGGTACAGTGGGGATTAAGCTCAATGAGTTTGGGGGGACATTTAATCCACAGCAGGCCTATAAGAAAATACAGTTTTTCTGCTTCATCTATTTGAATTAAAATTCAACCTGGAGTTACAATTTAACAAAGAAGAAATATTGGCAGCATCCAGTCTCTTGAATTAATATTGTCTCCTGGTCATAAATCAATACACACTGGATAGATGAGAGAGCATATATGCTAAGTCAGTCTAAAATGATACAGTGGCATTTGGGCCATTAAGAATGATTGGAAACATTCTAAGTTAATAGTTTTTTAAAAAATATAATGTGGATAAATCAAAAGGTAGGTAGAACAGTTAGCAAAATAAAGAAAAATGGAGCAAGTATTGGCAATGCCCAGCTAATAATAAGTTAAATGGAGCATTGGCCTGAACGCCAGGTGTGTTGGGTCTTTAGTTTATCCCTGTGGTAGCCACATTATTGTTCACAATCAATCGCTCCCTTCATTTCTCTTAGGTGATGTACACTCTCATACAGGTACAGTGTATTAATTTAATTTTAGCTTTGTCCATAAGCTTGCTTCAACCAATGGAATATGAGCAAATGTGACATGGCACATCTGAGCACAAACTTTTAGACAAGTACATTGTGACTTTTTGCCTTTTGTCACTTCAGCTCTCTGGCAAAAATAAGACATCCTAGTATAGGGGAAGCTTAAATGAAGGCAACGGGAGCAGGCCCAATAAGAAATCCATTCTGAGATTTTGGCATTGTTACTACAACAAAAGGTACCTAATGAAATCCCAATTTTGGCAATATTTGTAAAATATGCTTTACATATATTTTTCATATATTTGCCAATCTTCTTGGTAAAATTTGTTTTTTAGCATTATTTATTTATTGGTTTTTAATTGACAAATAATTATTGCATTTATTTACAGGGTAAAAGGTGATCTTTGGTATAGGAATACATTGTAAAAGATTAAATAAAGCTAATTACCATATCTATCATCTCACAAACATCTTTTTTGGGAGATGAGAATGCTTAAAATCAATTATTTTGGAGACTTTAAAATATATAATATGTTATTATTAACTGTGGTTAGGTCACTAAAACTTATTCCTGCAGTCTGACTAAAAGCTTGTACCCTTCGGTAAACATCTCCCCTGTCTCCATCCTTCCTCCCTCCTCCCAATCCCTCCCCAAACCACCAGCCTCGGTGACATTTTTCTATTTTCTGTTTCTATGAAAGTAACATTTTTAGATTTCACATATAAATAAGGTCATACAAATACATTTTTTGTCTTTCTGTGTCTGGCTTATTTCACTTAGCATGATGTCCTCTAGATTCATCCATGTTGTTGCAAATGACAGAATTTCCTTCTCTTTTTAAGGCTGTATAGTATTCCATTGTGGAGATACTCCTCATTTTCTTCATTCATTCATTTACGGACACTTAGGTTGCTTTCATATCTCTGCTATTGTGAATAATGCTCAAATGAACATGAGTGCAGATATCTTTTCAACATATCAATTTCAATTCCTTTGGATATATACCCAGAAGAGGGATTACTGGATCATATGTTAGTTCTGTCTGTTGTTTTGAGAAAACTCTGTACTGTTTTCCACAATGGTTATATTAATTTATGTTCCCACCAACAGTGTTTTAGGGTTCCCTATTTTTACATCCTCACCAACAGTTGTTATTTTTCATCTTTTTGATAATAGATATTAAAAAGGTGTTAGGTGATACCTGATTGTGGTTTAAATTTGCATATCCCTGATGATTAGAGATGCTGAGCATTTTTTAATGCACTTGTTGGCCATTCATGTCTTCTTTTTTTTTTTTCTTTTTTGTGACCAGTAAGGGGATCGCAACCCTTGGCTTGGTGTCGCCTGCACCGCATTCAGCCAGTGAGTGCACCGGCCACCCCTATATAGGATCCGAACCCGCAGCGGGAGCGTCACTGCACTCCCAGCGCTGCACTCTCCCAAGTGAGCCACGGGGTCGGCCCCTTATGTCTTCTTTTAAGAAATGTCTGTTCATATCCTTTGCCCAGTTTTTGATTCAGTTATGTGTTTTCTTGCTATTGAGTTGTTTGATTTCCTTATGTATTTTGGATATTGGACTCTTATCAGAGGTATGGTTTGCAAATATTTTCTCCCATTCTGTGGTTGTCTCTGCACTCTGTTGATTGTTTGCTTTGCTTTGCAGAATCTTTTCAGTTTGATGCAATTCCACTTTTCTATTTTTACTTTTGTTGCCTGCGCTTTGGGGTTCTTATTCAAGAAATCATTCTGCAGACCAATGTCATGGAGCTTTCCCCCTATATTTTCTTCTAGTAGTTTTACAGTATCAGGTCTTACATTTAAGTCTTCTACCCATTTTGAGTTGGTTTTTGAATATGATGTGAGATAATGATCCGATTTCATTCTTCTGTGTGTAGATATCCAGTTTTCCTAGTATTATTTATTGAAGAGACTGTCCTATTTCCATTGCGTGTTCTTGGCACCGTGGTCAAAAATCAATTGACCATAAATACTTGTGTTTATTTCTAGTCTCTCTATTCTGTTCCATTGGTCAATGTATCTGCTTTCATGCCAGTACCATGCTATTTTGATTACTGTGGCTTTATAATATATTTTAAAATCAGTTGGTGTGATACCTCTAGCTCTGTTCTTTTTACTCAGGCTTGCATTGACTACTTATGGCCTTTTGTGGTTCAATGCAAATTTTTAAATAGTTTTATCTATTTCTGTGAAAAATGACTGGAATTTTGATAGAAATTGTATTGATCACTTTGTAGATCACTTTGGGAAGTTTGAATATTTTAACAATATTATTTTTTCCAATGCATGCACATGAGATATCTTTCCCTTTATTTGTGTTGTCTTCAGTTTTTTAAATCAACATTTTATAGTTTTCAGTGTATAGATCTTTCACCTCCTTGGTTAAATTTACTTCTAAGTATTTTCTTTTATTTCTTTTTTCTTCTTTTCTTTTATTTCTGACCAGTAAGGGGATCACAGCCCTTGGCATGGTGTTGTCTGCACCACACTCAGCCAGCGAGCACACTGGCCACCCCATGTAGGATCTGAACCCACGGCCTCAGAGCTACCAGTGCCTCACTCTCCCGAGTGAGCCATGGGGCCAGCTCTTTATTTTTTGATGGTATTGTAAATGAGATTGTTTTGTAAACTTCTTTTTCACATAGGTCATTGTTAGTGTATAGAAATACTACTGATTTTTATATGTTGATTTTATAACCTGTAACCTTACTGAATTTATCAGTTCAAACAGTGTTTCGATCGAGTCTTCAGGGTTTTCTCTAGATAAGATGACATCATCAGCAAACATAAACAATTTCACTACTTCCTTCCCTATTTGGATGTATTTTATTTCTTTCTATTGCCTAATATCTGTGGCTAGGACTTCCAGTACTCTGTTGAATAGAAGTGGTGAGAGTGGCATCCTTGTCTTGTTCCTGATCTTAGAGGAAAAGCTTTCAACTTTTCACCACTGACTATGATGTTAGATGT